GCGGCTCAAGGGTTGCCAAGAGGTGCAGATTAAACAGGGAAGGGCTCAGATTTCGAAGATTTGCACGAGATCGTTTCCTTCAAGGCTCAAGCCAGCAGGCAGCACCCCCTTTAGCCCTTTCATCCCATTTCACGCACGTCTGGCATGTTGGGTTTCCATCCAGGGATCGCTATCGCCAGAGAATCGCCGAATCGAACTCGCTGGTCGTTGTCCGGCGCTCCGACGGCCAAGCCAAGGCCTGGAGGTGAACAAGTGGGGGGTGCTGAAGCCCGACATCCATGAAGACTTCGAGGTAAAGGCGTCGTCTCACCGAACAAAAAATTGGAACCGAGAAAACTGGAAAACACAACCGCTGGAGCCTGGTTGGGGGGGTGGGGTTTTTCGGCAATGAGGAGAATTGGCCCAAAAAACCCAGCGGAGACCAGGGCTTTCAGCCTGGAGCTCACCAGTTTGCTCTTTTGCCCCTCTGACATGTACTACTTTTGGCAGGATTGACCAGCGCGAGTTGAAGGGGCTCCGCCTTTTTGGCTTGCACCCATCCAGCCCCCGGGTTTGAACAAGGCCGAATATCGGAGCCGGTTCCCCTGCCCGGTGGAGGAAGAGTTGGATCACCACTTGGGTCTTCTTCCTTTCGTTGTTGTTCGTTCTTGGATTCAAAGGGCTCCAGGGTTTTTCTATGCATTTCTGAGGGCACTTTCTTCGCATGAACCGATGGTGCCGAGGCGGAGGCCCCCATTTACCCTGACAACTTGTGTGACCACCTGTGCCACTTCTTAGGTCAAAAGCTGCCTATGCTTCAAAGTGAGGACACAGCCTCCGGAGTCAAAAAGGTGAAAAGCTGAACGCAGTTTTGCGCAGATGAACTCACCATGAGTCCTTCCCAAGTCTGGCGAACTAACCTGAAGGTGGAACATCGAAACGGCCTTCACCTCATCGAAGGAGGGAAAAAACCTGTGGCCATCAAACATTTCCCAAATTTATCCGACCCTTGCTGGCAGATCAAAGACCCGTTGAACAGTCGCAGCAGACGTGCATGTTGTCTGAAAATGTCTGAGCCAAGATTATTGACACAGCTTTGGTTGTGATCATTCTCAGACTGCTAATGGGGAATGAACATTCTCGGGATCGGGAGCCTGATCCAACTGACTGCGTTTGTTTCTCACAAGCGTGGAATGAATGTGAGATCGTGGTCACCGGGATAAGGCCTTTTCTGTTTCTGATTTTCTCTCAGGGAAGCCAATATTTGGGCACCCCGACTGTGAAAAAGCCCTCGCTCGATGACATTATCTCTCAATTACAGATGGTAAACCATACATTCTTGCTACCCATAAGTGTTGGTGCTGGAACGGTTAGAATGGTGGAGACAGAAGCGATGATTAGGCGAGTGAGATGATACAAGCCCAAGACGAAAGGTAACAATGAAACAAAGCATTTTGCTTCTTGGGCAGGTGGCAAATGACGTCAGTGCTGTGGAGTACGAGTTGGCCAGCTGAGCGCGTCGAGGTTTGAGGCAGGGAGGGGGGGGTGGGACCTGCTGTATTGCTGTGATGGTTGATGGCCGATGGCTCTCATTTCTGCGGTTTTTTGCGCGTGTTTTTCGGCTTTAAGAGCGGCAAAAAGGGTATTTGCGCCATCCATGACGGACAGCCGCATGGTCAAGCGCACCTCGTGGCCAGGCAACTTGAGCGGCGCTCGGGGGCAAAAAGGCGTCCTTGCTCTCCCGGCGGAGTTTCTGCAGAACCTTTGGATGCGGCAGTTGGCTTTTCCCTGAGGTGCCTCGACTTGAAGCTAACTTTGAACATTCTAGGGCTACCTTCCCCATTCTTTCCAGGGATCCTTCTTTCTAGAAAACCTCAAGAAACCTGGTGAAAACGACCGGTTTTTGAAAAGAACAATGGTTGAAAATAATGGGGAATCAGCCCCTAGAAACATGGCAAACTTGGCAGTCCCTTCATTTTAGAAGAGATCGAAGGTTGACCAGTGAGGCTTTTTCGCATTTGGCCAGTCAGCTCATCAAATCAGAGACTGGATGTTCGCCTAGCAAATGCCACAACATTACAGTTTTAAGGGGAAGGGGCAAGGACTCGGGAAGCCCTTTGCTGCCAACTTGCCAACTTGCCAGCACCCCTGAACCTCTTGGAAACGGGTAGGGGGGCACAGGGCAGACCAGGTCCCCTTCGTGTGGGTACAGAGCTTGAGGCGTGCCCCTCGAGTGTTTTCAAAACGCGGGCCTGGAAGTGTCGCCTCAGTTCAAAGCTGACTTTCAACTCTTTTCTTGGTTTGAACAGCGCAACTCGAAACGGGGGTCCAAGAAGCTTGTGTGCCCTCAAGGTCCCGAATGGCTTACTTTATGTTTAGTCCAAAAATGGACAGGCGAGTTCCTCCAGAATGGTTTGCCTTAGTGTGCATTGGGAAGTGTCACAGGATGTCACAGGTGTTCATACTGTGCTTATCCCAACTGACATTGCCAGGGCGTCCACCTTGCAATCAAACAGGGAACGCATGTTCAATGCCCAAATGGGGAGGCGCCCCCTCCTTTGCACTGCTGCGCTTTGGCGAGCCAGGAAACCTGACAGTGACCCCCGCATTTGTAACATTGCACTTTCAATCCGGTTCACAGCGCTTTCCTCACTTAAACCGGGTTGCTGGACTTAAACCCTTTGGGTTTGGACCTTTCTGGTGGCAAAAAGTCCAAAAGCTTGGACCTTTTTTTCTTGGCCTATCCACTCGATCGGAAGTGAGTTTCTGGGATGATGCCGCTGCTTCGCGGAGCCCTCTCTTGGCGTCAGGGGTGCATCGCGCCCATGGATTGCGCCACGGCCGACGCAGGGGCTCAAGCCATTTCGGTGCGGCAGTACAAACGGGGAAAAGGCAACAAAAGGCAGCTCCCTTTTGCCAGCAAAGAACAGCCACCCGACTTTTCGCCCAAAGAACGCGCCAGCTTTTGCTCTCTTGCAAACTTCGGCCTTTTGTTCCACCCCGTTCATGGCAGGCAACGACCTCCTTGCACGTTCCAAGCGCAATCGTTTTCTGGCAGCCTCAAAAAACAAACTTGCCCGCGGCAGCGCTTCTTTGTGAGAGCGACAGGGAACGTCGGACCTATTCAGAGCTTTCGGTGGGTCAAGCCTGCAGCCTTTCTGGCAACTTGGTTGGACCTTTGGACTTGAACTTTCTAGGAAACAGTGGTTTTTCCGAATATGAACCCACAACAAGATGTTCATTTTTTGGCAAAGGGTCGCTACAGCCACCAAGCAGCCGAAGCTTTTTGGCCCCCGCAGGGGGCCCTGACCAGTTCTTTTCCACAGCCTGCGCTGCTTGGCCAAGTCAGCAGCCAAGGCCTGCCACTCGCTGATCGGAAGCCGAATGATCAGCTCGGCTGGGTGATATCCTAGATCCCCCAGCTAGGTGCCCCTGTACCAACTTTTTTGGGGAGGGTTCTTCTACTAAAGTAGGCTACATAAAAAGGGTACCCTTAGTCTATCCTCTCTACTGGAGGACCTAGTGTCAAAAGGAAATCACGTACACTTCATGCTTTTCCCCATGAAGATTCAACCATGGGGATGGATGCATGTTTCTTGTTTAGCAGGGCTTTCCTTTTAAATATCACCCATTGGCTGCCAGGATCAATCTCAACTCAAGCTCTCAATGTGGACACTTCCAGTAGCGGCCCAAGTGTTGAGCGCATATACCTGTGTCCAAAACCCCGAAGAAGAAAAACAACGGAGTTCTCCACGCCAGACTCCTTCCATTTCGTTCTTCCATGCAAAAACCTCCAGGGCTTGGAGTGAGTCATTCCTGAGGGACGAGGCGAGCGCCTCCAGATCGCAGGCCGATGGGCTGCTGCCAGGGGACGGAGGCCGGGAGAAGCCCGGGAGGCGTTTGCAGGCGGAAGGCGCCTCGTCGTTTTTTTGTTTTGTTTTTTTTTTGGGGGGGGGAGTTGGTACCAATACTCTTTTTGGGTTTGTGTTTTCAAAGAGGGACCAAGAGGACAAGTGCGAAAATGGTTTTTCTGCTCGGCAGTTCTACGTGGTTGTTTCTTTTGTTTTTTCCAGGGGCCCACGTTCTTCCCCTTGTGTGAGGGCTTTTGGAGCACCCTCTTCAGGACAGCATGAACATGTGCCTTTGACGCGGGATAACCCGAGTGAAACACCCCAAGACTGCGCTCCAGCTATGCGAAGGCTCGCCAGCCATCCAAAAGGGGCAAGTGAGTGCAATGGTCGGCACTTTTTCCCTTGAGCCCTGGCTTTCTTTGGTCAAAGGGCTTGACGAACATGGCTTTCGCTCAAAAGCTGAGGCACCCGGCTATCAATCAACCAGGTAGACCCCTGAGCTCCCATGCGCAAGGGTTGACCTGTTGACCTCCCGCGCGATGAGCACCACGGGTTGGACTGGAGCATTTTGACACCCCACGGGTAATTTCCAGCATGCGTGTATCCAGTGTTGGCATTGGGCCATCACGAGGGCCCACGTGAAATGAAGAATGATGGCCCCCCCTTCTTCCAGAAAGTTCTGGCGCATCATTGACGCTGGGTTTGGGCTGGTCTCACGGAGCTGAATTGACCGATTCAGAAAAAACGATGCAGACATTCAGAATGAAGCTCAGCACTCGGCAATTCCAGCAAAGCACTTCGCTTTCGGTTGGGCTAGAAAGGCTTGGATTTTGCATAGGGTGCACGCAAGCTTTGTGAAGTTCACAGGAAATACGGGCTTTCGCTTGAACACGGAATGCAAACGATGCAGAAAAACTTGGTTTCAGCCCCTATCGCTCGCTTGGCTCGAGATTCCGAACCGAAGGCAGAGGCCCAATACATCTTGCACAGAGCTTCACAAGGCCATGAGTTCTCCAACGCTTTGAGCATGCTACATGGGTGTGGGTCAAAAATAGGTACACGTTTTGGGAACCCTTGTAAATGGAAGCAAATACTAAAACCTGCCGTCCTCTGGTGATTCATTCTGACCCAGACCCACATCATCTCACCATGTAGAAGGACGACAGCTGACGTGACGCTCTATCCAGCCGACTTGACGCATGGAACATGCCAAGCGCCCTCTGGTTAGGGCTGCTCGCATGCGCTGCAGGCCGGCAAGCATTCATGATGTGGTCCTGGAAAACGTACAACTGTCTCCCAGACGGATGTTTGTCTGTGTGTGGTTGTGTTTGTGTTTGTGTGTGTGGTTGTGTTTGTGCATTGTCTATATTTTGTGTGTTTGTGTGATTGCGCGTTTGCCTGACTGCGTGTGCGTCCTTGTGTCCTTGCGTTTGAGTGTGCTTTTTAAAGGAGGCCTTCGAAAATCAGCTGCACACAACGCGCCTTTTTGCCAGAGCCACAGCAGGCCTGGCTGAGATTTTATGCATTCCAACATGTGTTCTTCCATTTGGTTAATAATATGTTTATGTTCCACTTTTGGTTTTAAAGGGAATCTATAGGGACTTAAGCAAATGGAGGGTTTCACACATTCGAGCAAAGATTATGTGAGCTTACCTAGCTGTCTACTGATTTCCTGGACCTGTGCCTCTAATCATCAGACTTTATCTCCTGAACATCTGTTTGTCTCTTGTCCGAAAAGCAATCCGTCTTTCTCTCCTGCCCTTCTCTCCACTCTACAGCCGTCTTTGGCCCTTCAAGCAAAGCCCTTGGCCACTTGGGCATTCGAGTTTGCTCGGTACCCGCTGGAGCGGTCGCTTGGCTATTTGGAAGTCCATCCAAAAAGAAATCGAGAGCAATGGGGTCTTCAAACTGCAGTGAGCTGGGGGTAAAACGATCTCACCCAGAAAGGTCTTTGAATTACGTGATTCCATTTCCAGCTTTTTTGATTACGTTACGTAAGTTCTTGAGACGCATGGATGCACGCCAGCCTTTGCGTGGGTAACTACAGGGGATGACTAAATCCAAATTAGGAAAATCGCGTTAGTTGCTTTCACACGTCTTGTGTGTTATTGTTGTGTTCCTTTCTTTCTTTCTTGCTTTCTTTCTTTCTTTCTTTCTTTCTTTCTTTCTTTCTTTCTTTCTGTCTTTCTTTCTTTCTTTCTTTCTTTCTTTCTTTCCTTCTTTTTTTGGGTGGGGGGATCGCCTCGTTTGCCTGAACGCGGTTTTGCTTGTTTCCAGGCGACGAGTGTAACAGCCTGCAGCTGTTGCAGCATCGCCTTGACCTGGCCCCGAGTCCCGTCTGGCCGCTGAAGTACCTGCCCCTTGGCGAAAGCGTCCGGCGACCTGCCGGCTGAGACGCAGATGTATTGGAAGGGGGGGGGGGGTGCTTCTTTCCTTTGCTGAAATGAATATTTGTGTTATTTCCCCTCTTGGTTTTGAAGGGAATCTATCACTACCATTTTTTCCAGGGGGGTTAAGCAAATGGAAGTACCTGGCCATCCGAACCACCAATCCCAATCCCAAGACCAATTGGGGGCTCGGTTGGGTAAAAGATGGCAAAATGATCCCGCCAGTTTGCTTGACTCATCCCCCTTTTTCCCACAAATAAAGGGAAAAAACTGCGCCATTTTACACCGCAGGAGGCCAGGCTTCTCAGAATCTATTCATCAGAACCCCCCCTTTGCAGTGGTTGAGAAAAGCTCTTGGGGCCCCGGGAGGGAGGGCATTGCTCGCCATGCACTGCTTTTGGCCTTGAGTGGCTAGGGAAGTGGAATCCCCTAGAAGGCACCCCCAAATTGGCAGAAAACCGCATCAAGTTCTCATGGTATCCACTAGAATATGTGTCAACAAAAGGGGACCCCCTGAAAACAAAGGACTAAATCCAGTTGTGGCTTTGCTTTTGGCTTCCAAACCAGGGCTAAAATTGGCACTCTAAAAAAATACAATCACAATCACACACACACAGGCGCGCCAAGCGTACAGCTAAGGCATGTGCCAAAGTGCGGCACCTCCTTCCTGTGCCTTGGCTCTGCAAGCTTGTCGCAGCTTCTTGCGCTCCTTTTGGTGTCTTTTGTGGTTCCCAGGGGTGGCGCGGATGGGTTTCCACATGTTTTGGTTTTGAGGGTGCCGACTTTCAGGTTGGCTTGAGAAGCCAGAAACGCAAACACAACTTTGGTGCCCGACTCCCGACTTTGACAGACCCAAATGGGGGGGCTTTTTTTCACGGTTCCACTGAGCCCGCCGTCCGGGCTACAGCGAAGACTTGAGATCCCGACTGGACAAACTTTGCCCTGGCTTCGCGCGTGCAACCCGCGGAGAGCACATGCATCATGACCCGTGCATTGTTCATCAAGTGCAAAACCGTGTTGGATTCCATTTTGGGCTAGGTGCACCACCCAGATAATCTATTTTAGTGGTTGGATTGGGATGTTCACCGGGGTTACGATTGGGATTTTGACCCGTGGCCACTTCAGTTTCCTTTTCAAGGAAGGGGGTGGTCAAGGAGGGCCTCGTGTAAGGAAAACAGCAGAAGGCCACGTATGCGTGTTGCGGTAAGACTGTTCTCCACCCCACCCATGTTCAATCAGTCATCGAGACTCAAGTTGTTTCATGTAAGATTCCTTGCGACCTAGTTTTTCGAAGCCCCTTTTCATGGAGGCTCAGCCACACACCAGTCAGGGCTTTATGGCGTTACAATGGCATCATCATCATTGTTGTTGGGAAACATTTTACATTTTTGCTTATTTCGGTTAAGTGGGAAACTCCCACTTAACTGCTAAAATGTATTTTTTTTGCTCCCCTTCCAACGTCGACCACGTCATTTGGGAAGCATGAGTCAGGCCCCAGTTTTCCCCAAGCCAAACTTGCGAGCGGGAGGAATGCAGTGGTCCACTTGCCCGGGGTCTGCGATGTGGATGCCCACTTTGGCCTGGACAAGGAGACGCTGGGCCGGCACTTTGAGAAGCACTTCTGGCGGAAGTGCGGCCAGGCCGGGCATGGAACTCGGTTGCTGCTGTGTCCTGCTGGCTGCCTTGTTTCACTTTTGATTGGGTTGCCAAAAAACAACAACAACATAATTGCATATTCATCTTTTACATGTTCCTTATTCCTTATTCCTTATTACATATTCAAATCTGTCAAGATCTGTCAAGCCCAAATGTATGTTGCCTCTTTCTACCAGGAGCCACGTTGAGCTTCGACGCAAAAGGCCCTCCACAGCGAATTTTCGTGGATTTTCGGACC